ATATTCAGGACGTGATTTAATCCGTGACTTCTAGCGAGTCATTTTGTGGACCACATCAATTCTGTGCAGGACTATTGATTCCTTATCCTTCTGGTGCAATCTCACTCTTTCTCAAAGTATTCGCCATGACAATCAATGCATTTTTGGCACATCCTCGACCATTCTAGGTATGCACCCTCAAAACCATATTTTCCAAGATTGGTCATCTCGGTTCTCACAGCATATTCAGAATACAAACACAGAATACCACCTATATACTGTAGATTTTTTTTAACTTTTTCTTTCCCATAGACTTCCAACAAACCTCATTAGGTCTCTAATACTGAAAACATCTTCAAAGCATTAAATTTAATCTCAGCACGGATGTTTATACGTGATTCTTGCTTTTTCATTGCTATTTTAATCAAATTTTGCTCCATCCAAGAAGGACTGAAAATGGCAGTGTCCTGGTGTCACTGCGTTGTGTGACATCACAATAGCATGATGATGTAATATATGTTACAGTTGTCATGACTACAAGGCTTGAGACAATATGAAACCAAATATTTGAAAATAACTGTCATTTTGAGATATTTCTGAGCATATCTATGTTGATCAAGCCCTTCATTTTTTAACTGCTCCGTTAACCCCTACTTTTGGTTACCATAGCAACCGTTGTTGCTAAGGCACAAAATGAATTGAATTGAAATTTCACCAAACAATGCCTTATATCCTAGTCCGTTCATGTGCCAAATTTGGTTGAGATATGTACACAGGGACTTGCTGCCTCAGAAAAGTCCCACTACTTATGAATCCCCCCTCGTACATTATAAAATGAATGGGATTATGATAACATTAACTGGTTCAGTATGAAATGGTGTCAAGTTGAAACATTATTCTACTATGTTCATGTGATAATATTTGAATTAATTGGGCACTACGCAAATGTAAAAGGTACATCAGGTGGTATATAAGGTGGTATCAAATTGAACATTATAGTATTACGTAAGTCCACAGTAAAATTAGAGTCAGTTGTGCACTGTAGTATTGTAGAGGTTCATAAAGGTGAGTGGTTTAATATTAGCCACAGTTCGATGAATGTCCACTTCTGTATCAGGATATCACACTACTATACCTAACACCTAGAAATGCATAAGATACTTTGTTTGTCTAATTGAATTGTTTGATATATTTTTGAAAGTGCCCTACTAGCATCTAATTTTCAACCGATAAACCATTAATAAGGAACAGACAAATAAAAACAAATACATAATCATTACTAATAAGCCAAATGGGTTGCTCATGAACACCTAATGCAAGGTATAGTAGTGTGGATATACATAATTAGAAAACAAGCTGTATGAAGCTTGAATGAAAAGAGTATAGCATAGTCCAGGGTAAAACTAATACTCATAAGCTGATTGCTGTACAAAGTATACAAAAACATAGTGATTCAAGGTTATGTAATACAGGATTAAGTGTTACTTCAATGCAATAAGGGATATTAATTGGTGTCAAGTTAATCAGTCGTTTGAGCAGTTACAGGTAGCTGTGTACTGGGGGTTAACCCTCAGTTGCCAAGTTTGGTATCGAGGTCATCATGAATATTTAAAAGGACCTTCCTATTGTCAGTTGTCCTGATACCCCAGATTTTACCATTGAAGCACCAAGCGTCCTTTGCACCGGGATGTTGTTTCACTCTCCATAAAAGATTCTTGTTTGCAGGTGAAAGATTTTCCATGACCACCAGGGGTTTGCCTTTCAGTGCTTTGCGATTCTGTAGAACTTTGTCTCTAGTTTTGCGATTATGGAATCTGACAATCATTGGAGCAGGTCTATTTTCGCGTCCCCGGGGTTTTGCCAAGCGGTGAGCCACTTCAATGTCATCCACTGAAATGGGGCAATCAGGCATGTACTTGGTAAGATCGGTTACCACTTTGGAGATGCAGTCTTCACGTGTGGCGCCAGCTGGTATTTCTTCGGTGATACCTAGCATATCGAGGTTGTACTTACGACTGTGCTGGTTATTGTGGTTTACTTCCAATGACAGTTTGTCTATGCTGGCTTGCATGTCGTTCATAGTGTTTTTCAATGTGCCAACCTCAAGCTTTAGGCGAGTATTTTCATCACGTACATCAGATATGTCTTTCACAAGTTTTGCCATATTCTCCTGCATAGGATCACTAATAGATTGCTTAATGAGTTGCTTCATCTCATCCTTAAATTCATCAAAGTCAGCTTTACATATCATTTTATCCATCTGTTCCTGAATGTATTGAGAGTTTTTTCTAGTTTGAGTCATAATGATACTGTGAAGGCTAGAAAGGGTTAAATATCCTTTGTGTCAATTATTTGTGAAAAAAGTTGATCAAAACTCTTCTCTCACATAAAATATTGAAATAAATTCTAGCAGAATATGTTGATATAGTACTTATATATAAGTTAGATGCGAATTTGTGAGCCTTTCCTCCTACTGTCCACTTGAAAATTGATTAAACTGCTCCTGATCCTATTTGCTGTTTAGCCTTCCAGCATGATTTGTAGCTGATTTGTATGTCATTTCTGAAAAGTATGACGAAATTATTCGATGACGAAATGACTTTTTGTGATTGTGGTCTTTTTTGAAAATTCCAATATTCGAATAGATGGCGGAAGAGAGACATTTAGAGTTCCAAATGTTTTTCGCAATGTGCTATTTAATATTGGAGTTTAATCATACATATTCATGAGCGAGGAGTAGCCATCTTGAACTTTAAGATGACCATTCGTAATACTTTCGAAAAGGTTTCTTATCGTCGTATGTTCCAGGTAAACATTTCATTGGACCTATACATATACTTTTGCCAATTAGAACATCAGCACATCGATATAGTATTCAATAGATAGTGAGACACTCGCACGAAACGAAAGTGGTAAGCGGAAGTATAAGGTCAACTATGTATGGTTTCCTCCAAGTTAGTCATTTCAATATTCGGCGCGATATAGTTCTCATCATCCCAATGGGAGGAAGATTGCTTGAATAGAATCAGTTCAGATATGACAGGTAAATATGCATTTTCGGCAACCATTTCGAATTATTTCCAACATTTACTGTAACCACAAATTAAATATGGGAAAACTGTAAGGGATTAAATTAGAACCCATACTAGACTACACCCGATTAGTTATCGTGTACGCCGTGTGCCATATATTATCACTATGTTTCTTGTTTAGTTCTATATATCATTAGGGAAACATGGTAAAGTCTATTTTAACGAGAGGGAAGAACGGCATGAATACCAGACGAGGTGTTTTGGGGAAACAATATGTGAACATTTCCAGCAGATGCATGATTTTGTGGCAGAATTAGTGTATAATATTAATAATTTGTCAGCTGCTGTAAGCATGCAACTAAGCGAGGCATCCTAACTCTGTCTTCATTGTGTAGTGCAATGTGTTATCATTTGAATCACGCTCTGAAAATTAGCTAGAAAATACCAACAAATTCCAACGAACAAAACATTTTTTGAAAATTTCTTCTATATTATATTAGCGCATAAAATTTGGACCAAATCTGTCCCCTGTTATGTGAGTTATGGTGTGAGTACCGTAATCCAACACAAAATTCGAAAATTCTGAACACTACTTTGCACATATGACGTTCGCGACCAACTATGAAACGCTTATCCCCCATAGTGTTTTTGACCTACATATCTATTTTCGTCATTAAAATGAAAGTTGAACTCTTCCTCTTTGTTTTGATAACAAATAATGGTACCCTAGAATTGTACCCTAGAAGCCAACTATGGCGTTATTTAGAACAAAATCACCTGGCTTTTGAATGGACTATACCTTTTGGATGGATATGAAACCTCGCACATCATTAATGACTATTGTATAATTACAATATTGAGAGACCTAAACATGTTGTGTTTATGTCGTTTTGTTCCAATGGGGTTCGATCAATTCGGAAAGATGTTTCATTTCACTCTGGAAACATGATACCAAGAACAAAACAAGTGTTTGATGTGTTTTCTAAAACAATATAGATGAAAGTATATTTTATTTTTCAAATTATATTGTTACCATTCAAAAGATGACCATTAAATTGACGATGTGTTAAATTTTTAGATTTTTTATGACTGGTTTAAGAGAAACGTGTGTTCAAAAAGTTCTCCATATCGACACCACTCCTTTAAAACATTTCCTCAGATACCGCAATGGATTGGCAGCCATTTTTCAAACTCATACTCTGTTGCCTGCATTGGAACAATCTAAGTAAAAATATTTCTATAAGGTTCTCTTTGGACAAAGTATTTCGTTATAAGATGGTCATTACGAATATTTTGGTAGTATTCAAGCTTCCTCAGCAGTTCTAATCTTCAAGATTTGAGTAATATTTTTTACCAAATTGGTCTACGCCGGGCAACGGAGTACGAGTTTGGATAACGGCTTCTAATCCTCCTTGATACTGCCTGTTTCTGAGCCCTGTTCTCTCTTGATATGCAATAACCACCTTATTTACATTTTATACAGTATGTAATATATGTATGTTAAGTGTATAATATTTCATGAAAAATCATTGAGTTGAAAAAAGTTATCAGAATGAGATGGATGACTAATTGTTATGCCCGGCTACTATGAATATAATAGACTAGATGCGAGTAGAAATAATCTTGATTTACATCATAAAATATTCAAAATTCCGTCTATTCATAGGGTGTACAGGTATAGCGCTTCGGACAATAAATCGTCGTTTTCCACATTTTTGGAACAAACTACACAGATTGACTTTTTTCTAACGAAGAGTGGCACATAGTACAAAAGTGATAACAGAAGAATTGAGTTAATATTATTAACCATGTATTCCCATTCCTTTTTGTCGAGAAAATTTGTAAAAAATCTCTCTGGCCACTACTGTAAATAAACATTATTCAAAAACTATTTCTCTATGGGGAAATAGGTTGACTCCCGGAGTGCTAATGTAAAGCAACTGGTGTTACCCGATGCTTCAAGGTTATTTAAATGCAAGCTCTTGGATAGATATTCTACCTGTTTTGGCATGGCCTCATGGGATAACTAAACGCAAATCTGGAATGACCTTATTTACGTGACCTAGCAAGGAAAACAAGGTCACGATTAGTGTTGTGTGCTGTGCGTGTGTAAAACATAGTGAATAGACAGGATACTGCAGCTACCAGCTCGATAATCGCCAGGAAAGGATAAGAATAGGGATGTTCAAAGCTGCATTATTTGCAGGTATTTAAACACACATTTTTACTCAAAAAATAAATACGTTCAGTAAATGAAAATTAAATGAATATATGAAAACTATTGTTTATTATTATGTAGTCTTTAGTTATATGATTAACTTGGCGATAAGATCAGGCTTAGTTATTTGCATGACATACTACGTAGAATAAACAGTTGCGTGCCTGATACAATTTTTATTCTTCGTAATATTTGAGATAATAAATTGATTCCTGAACTTGAAATTGAATTCATAATTGACACAATAATACGTATGAGTATGTTGAATTCACTGTAGTAAAATGTTGATAATGACTAGACATGAAACATTAACATCAATGCCTTTTCCATTTAACTTTTTGCGGGATAAATGATAAATCTAGAATCAAACGTTATTAGAATAAAGATTTTTGTTGTACACATGGTTGATAAGAATTTATTCATTTTAAATAAAGTAGGCCGTTAGTAACTATACACCGCATTCGTCATCAAGCTTAAAAAAATTCGTAAACAAACGCTGTTTACGCCTTGTGCATACAACATGTTACTGGATTAAAATTACACACATTGTTTATCAGATACTGAATTATTTCCAGATTTTCGTGTGGAGTTGGTTGTTTTTAGTTAGATAAATAACATGCCTCACCCGGCGTACTGACATTTCTGACTGAATAGTTCAGATAAATTGTTTCTCCAAAAATAACTGCATAACGATGTCTAACGATTGTGTGTTGTATGTTTGAAAACAAAAATAAATGTTTGGAACATATGGCTCAAGCAGTAAAAATCTGTAGTGTAATACAGAATTCGAATGAGTCATGAGTCATGGTACATATACGTTCGATGTACTTCTACACATTTGCTCATATACTCTCTGCTACGAAAACTCTCTGTGTCGCCATCGCCATGGATTGCTCTTAACTGTTGGTATTGGTGACTATATTAAATTTAATATTTCAGTATTTATACAGTGATTGTCTGGAACTTGATTGGAAGATAGGACATATAGTTTTTTAATATACATTGATTAACATATTGAGACAAAAATCGCTTTTGTACCTTTTTATATACTACAAATGCCGTCAAACCTATGTACTAGAGGGATTACATATATTTATTTATCATATGACTATTTCAATGTTCCACAACTAGTTACTTTGACGGAACGTCAATGTAACAAAATGGATGAACTTCCTGGTTGGGAGTTTTTTGTTTCCTCGATTTAAACCTGCTTGTAAGTCAAGTTGCAGATTTTAATTTGGCACAGAGCTTGAAAATATAACCTAATTTTAATAAGTGTCTTCGATTAGGACTTTGGAAGCTGCAATTCATATTTTTAGCCCCTCGCTTTTGTTGAAAGTCTGTCATATTACAAATGTATGTTACTTTGACGACTTACGTCAATGTAACAAAAGCGATGGTCTAAATGCATGAATTACAGCTTTATTTAAACATCTACTCATATTAAGAACAGGAAATAAGAAAATCATTATTGAATCGTTGCAGGGCCTTTTGAGACCCATTGAAAAAGTTCACTATAGGCATTTATTGGCCCGTTTTAATATTCCAGAATCAGCATGTTTTTTCTTTACTCCAAACTTAACATTTTTAATCAATATATACGGCCCAATCCTTCCTTATCTAGAAAATGGGTGTGTAACATCTAGAACATTTCACCAATGTATTAGTTCTGGATAAAAAAACATGTAGGTCGCCTTTTTCCCTTATAGAATCAACATGACATTCTTCGTTTTACTGCAATATTGGAATCTATCCAGACTTTTCAGTTTGTTATCCTGATAACTGAGAGACGTATCCTCAAGAGCGTATCATTGCCCTAAAGGACAAATCAGTATATCTTTGATCCCAAGATTGGGTTGACCATTAGATTTTACCAATAAAAGGACTATTCAACATATCTTTGATCCCAAGATTTGGTTGACCATTAGATTCTTCCAATGTAAGGACTAGTCAGTATATCTTTGATCCCAAGATTGGGTTGACCATTACATTGCACCAATGAAAGGACTTGGTTATAAGATTTGGTTGACCATTAGATTCTTCCAATGTAAGGACTAGTCAGTATATCTTTGATCCCAAGATTGGGTTGACCATTACATTGCACCAATGAAAGGACTTGGTTATAAAATATAAGATTTGGTTGACCATTAGATTTTTCCAATGTAAGGACTGGTCAGTATATCTTTGATCCCAAGAATAGGCTGCCCATTAGATTGTACTAATGGAAGGACTTGTCAGTACTGTATATCTTTGATCCCAAGATTGGGTTGCCCATTAGATTCTACAATGAAAGGACTTGTCAGTATATCTTTGATCCCAAGATTGGGTTACCCATTACATTCTACAATGAACGGATTTGTCAGTGTATCTTTGATCCCAAGATTGGGTTACCCATTACATTCTACAATGAAAGGACTTGTCAGTATATTTTGATCCCAAGATTGGGTTGTCCATTAGAATGTACCAATGAAATGACTTGTCATTTAATCTTTGATCCCAAAATTGGGTTTACCATTAGATTCTACAATGAAAGGACTTGTCAGTATATCTTTGATCCCAAGATTGGGTTGCCCATTAGATTGTACCAATGAAAGGACTTGTCAGTATATCTTTGATCCCAAGATTGGGTTACCCATTACATTCTTCAATGAAAGGACTTGTCAGTATATTTTGATCCCAAGATTGGGTTGTCCATTAGAATGTACCAATGAAATGACTTGTCATTTAATCTTTGATCCCAAGATTGGGTTTACCATTAGATTCTACAATGAAAGGACTTGTCAGTATATCTTTGATCCCAAGATTGGATTGCCCATTAGATTGTACCAATGAAAGGACTTGTCAGTATATCTTTGATCCCAAGATTGGGTTACCCATTACATTCTACAATGAAAGGACTTGTCAGTATATCTTTGATCCCAAGATTGGGTTACCCATTACATTCTACAATGAACGGACTTGTCAGTGTATCTTTGATCCCAAGATTGGGTTACCCATTACATTCTACAATAAAAGGACTTGTCAGTATATTTTGATCCCAAGATTGGGTTGTCCATTAGAATGTACCAATGGAATTACTTGTTAGTAAATCTTTGATCCTAAGATTGGGTTGACCATTAGATTCTACAATGAAAGGACTTGTCAGTATATCTTTGATCCCAGCAGACCTTATGAGTAGGTCCCAAGCAGTGTTCATCAGGCTCCACCAGCATTTGATACAATGTAGCCGCGCAAGATGGTACGTTAATAGAACGAAAACCACAATGTATGGGTTTCAACAGATTTCTTCCGAATGGTATCTTTAGCAACACTGTATCCATACAGTGCATCCATAAAAAGTATACCCAATTTCATAACCAAATTACTTTTGAAAAAAAGTATATCAATTTCAAAACCAAATTACTGGAATCCTGAAAAAAAATTACTTTTGCCTACTATGTATTCACAAAATGAAAGAATTATTTCCCAAATTCAAACCTCTTCTCTGAATATAAATAATATATATGCTTCATATTTTTTTATTTTTTTTTTTATTCTTCTTTATTCAATTTTAGTACATACAAATTACACATGTAATGACTGCCGAAGTTGAAAAACATTGGTGGCAGTTTTTATTTAACAAACATAGTAAAATTATAAAAAACAAAAAAAACTAAAGGGTGGTGTCAGGTTTTCTGTCTGGGGTGTTTAGGCAATAAGCAGAAAACAAATTAAATAGTTATTTACAGCTGAATACAAAATTGGCAGTAATCTGCAGCACAGCTTGGTTTTCTTCAATATTTAGTTCGTCATTTCCATTTAGTAGAAATTCAATTTTGCTTCGAACATTTGAATCTAGAAAAATTTCAATTGCATTTAGCTCTGAAAGTTTTGCAAGTAGAGTTAGTCTTTCATTGATATGTAGATTGCAGTGAAGGAAAAAGTGTTCAGTAGTTTGTGGTTTTCCACATTGACAGAGGTCATCCAAAATTCCAGGAAAGTTATGAGCATATTTATGTGATTTTAAAAGAAATCCTACTCTAAGCCTGTTCAAACTAATTTCATAAAATCTATCAATATCAATATTTTGACAATTTGTAAATATCTTTGGTTGGGTTGAGAAGTTTCTTTTGACATGATTTTTAAAGGTGGATATTGTTGGTTGACATCTCAATTCAAGTGGGAGTGAATTCCAAATATTTATGCATGAAAAGATACAGGGATTTCTAAATTTAGCTGATATATTAGTAGGTAAGTGAAAATCAACTGGATTTCTAAGTTGCATATGTAATCTGGTTGGTCTATATTGTTGAAAAATTTCTGATATATAAGATGGCATTTGACCTAAAGATAATTTGTACATAAACGTTGCTATGTGTGATTTACGTCGGTCAACAAGTTTGTCCCAATTTAGTAATTTCAATACCGAATTTGTATTTGAGCCATGTAAACACCCTGATACAATGCATGCAATTCTGTACTGGAGTCTCTCAAGTCGGTCAAGAGTTAATTTGTTACCAGTATGATAAATAATGTCATGAAAGTCAAAATGTGGCCGTATAAATGATTCCGCTATCCTAGAAAGATGTTTACTTTTAAGTTTATGGCTCAATGCACGAAGTGGATTTGTCATTTTTTGAACTTTATTCAATAAGTTTTCAATGTGCACGTCAAAATTTAGAATGTCATCCAGGTGCATACCTAGATGTTTGTGACTATTTACTTTTGGCAGAGTTTCACCATTAAGTGTCAAATCAGGGATATTATTTAAAGTACTTCTTGGTCGTCTGAAAATGAGATCAGCACTCTTTGCTGCTTTAAATGCCATTTTCCAAGTATTTGACCATTCAGAAAGTTTGTTCAAATCATCTTGTAAAAGGTCAATGGAGTTAGGATCATTTTTGGAGTATGGATGATAAAGTGATGTATCATCAGCATAGAGAAAGCAAAGGGAATTTAAATCATCTGGCAAGTCGTTTATATAGATTAAAAATAATAACGGTCCAAGAATTGAGCCCTGAGGGAAACCTGCATTTATTTGACCAGGAAGTGAGAAATTTGATTGTATTCCATTTATTGTGACTTTAATTTTTCGATTTGATAGGTACATGGTTATAAGGTTAAGTAGTGACTGTGAAAGTCCATATCGTGATAATTTATGCAAAAGTAAATAATGCTTCATATTGATCTCCTTAATAAGTCAACAGATCCCACATGCGTAATAAATAATTAGCTGATATTAACATTTTTATTATTCAATGGCCAATGTCGTCACATATGATCAATGTCTAAGAGTAGTTATTCAGCTTGTACTTTTTTTATTTAAATTAATATATTGAGCTCACCATCCAAATTCACACCACCTATATCTAGTAACTGTGAATGGCGCATAGAAACTTTTGATCCTGAAGAAAAGGTGGTAGATTATACTGTACCGAAATAGCTTACCCTCAGTGACTAGTTCGACTACATGTAAACATATTTAGACGATTTCGCTAGTAATTTCTGAGGCAATCCATCAAAACCAAATGGCAACAGTCGGGAAAGCTCATATTTAGAACGTGATTTAGACTTTTGCATCAATTGCATCATCCCAAGAGTGTACTAACTTTTCATTTATTGAGAGACAGGTTTGGAAAGTTGAATCGTAACTAAAAAGATGTAAAAGATAATTCCACATCATCTTCTGTAGCAAAACAAACACCCCTGACGATAAAATGGATTAGCGCGAGGTTATTTACTGGAACAAATATGTTTTTATTCAATAGGAAAAATGATCTTGCCCAATCTATAATCATTCTCGACGAGTAAGCTCTGTATTATAAGCTTCCACATGATGTTCATCAAGGTTTCGATGAATTATTGCTATTAAACCAACGTTCCTATAAGATTCTATAAAGAATTTTACATTTTGCAGGGCTGCTGGCAGTCTCAGCTGGGTTATCCCTCGTTGTCATGCCCAACAAGACACACTTTGAAGAAGGGGATACTATATCGTTCAGCTGTATCCATTTGGGACTCAGGCAACATGAGAAAATCCGCTTCATCAAGGTATGTACCAATTCACGAGTAACACTCTCTCTCCGGGGGAGAAGGGCGGGGGCTAACTGATGTGAACAATGTGTGAATCCACATGAGTTTAAGAAATCTAAAGCAATTACTTGAAATCTTTGTACTAGCGGTGTCAACGTAAATATGGACCGTGCCTCATATGGTCCGTTAGACTATAAGTCCTGGCAAATAAAGTCATGGACTATATTATCTAGAATAACAAGGCCGATGGACTATATTATTTCCTTAGGAATTTAGTCCGTTAGCTAGAATGTGATGTCCGGGGTAGACTATAAATACCAAATTATGGTCTCTTTAACTGTCATTCCGGACCATATTTTCTGGTTAAAAATGTCCTTGGACATGTATTGAACTGTCAAAATAATATTTCATTGACATACAAGACAGGATGTATTACTGCTATACCACAAAATTGTATAACCCGTCTCGTACTTTACAAAATAATGTGTAAAACCTTTTTATTAGTCATTGGACATTTAATTTGTCTAAATATCTTGAAACATCAATTAAAATTAGCGGGAAAGTGCTTGCCCGGAAACGGGTTCAGCAGTGCAATGTTGTGCTTGCCATTGCAACTCGGAAAAGGGTTCGGCAGTGCATTTTTATATAAATAATGAATTTCTAGTGCCTTAAAAATACCAGGAGAGGGGGGGGGGGAGAATCACAACTCACAAGTGACCGGTCAATTTGTCAAATAAATCATTGCATATTTCTGTTTCACCTGAACAGGGCTGAGAAGAAATGAGATGTCATGGTTTATCATGATTCATCTTAGGTAAGTTTTATGGAGCTGTCACACTTAGGCCGTGTGGGCTTGAGTTTTGCAGCAAGATTTCCCCATCATACCAAATATGGAAATTAATTAAGGAATTAAAAAATCAATGTCCAAATTATTCATCATAGGACTGGTCCATTAACTTCTCCACAGCATTTTTTGTGTCTTTAGTGTCCGTATACCCTGCGCGCAGAGACTAGTTATAAACTGACGAAACTCTTTTGAGAAGCAAAGTCGAACGAATGCAAAGGGTATAGTGTCCGCAAAATGGCTCCCGAAAATATGACTCATGGCAAGAGCCACTTTAAAGTCGCCTTGAAGATTCACCCGAGAGAGAAGTTCTTACACGGTCTTTTTAGTTGCGATGAAACATATGTTAAACATTTTGAACCAAACGGGGCAAGAGAAAACAGTGGGTGGCGAAACTTCTATATGTATATACTCCAATTTGAATTGTCGCAAAACGCAGTTGCAACCAGCAACTTAAGTTAACAGTCTTGATAGACATTGAAGACTCAAAGAGTTTCCGCAGTATGTTGTGAGTTAAACTGCTCCGCTGAATCTATTTCCGAGTTGCTAAGGCAACCACCTTAGGTTTCTGCTATATTTTCAATATATATGAACAATTCTTTCAGGGTATTTAGGCAAATATCAAATGTTTCTTCTGTAAAAATCTTAATGATGAATGGTAAATTAAAACAAATAAAAAATAAGCGTTTTAGAGCAAAATTAGTTTTACTTATTGAACGACCTATATATTTCAATCCTTATTCGTTCATTTTGATCATTACATCATTATATTTTAATCATTAATCATCATCATTCATCATATATGTTAAATCATTCAAGATACCTTTTCCCTCTTCCCTTTCTCTCTATCTTAACCACTAGCCCCCATCTGGTTATAAATACGTTACGTTACGTTTTTATATCAAAAATGGATGAATTCCTCGAAAGAAATATTAAACGGGCCTTGGCTGGTGATTCCGATCGTGTTATCACCCGAGTAATTGGACAGATGTAAGTTAACGATATACCCCTGGACACGCATAACTAGAAAAATTAGAAGAACTGGTCTCGGGAACAAATGCAACCAGAAAAAATAGTCCGATTGGACTTGTATGTCTAGAAAATTAAGAATAAGTTGTCTCGGGGACAGAATCTACCGGGAAATATAGTCTCCTGGACATGTATTAATTATATAAATATTTAAGGGAAACTAGGGCAAGAATAGTCAAAGACAATTTCAGTTCCATTTGATGCAGAATATGCTCAAAGAATAATAAAAATTAGGAATGAGTGGGACTCGAACCACACCAAAGTAGACACTCATGAACTATCCCCAAAGATGATAGAAAATATGGTCCGGTTAAGACAATACACCCTAGGACACACCCTGGTGTCTTAGGGTGTATGGTCCCACGGACAATATATTCAGTGAGACTATATTTACTCTGTCAGTGGAACCTGGATTTCGGTAATAAATAAAAATTTCATACGGTGGTATTTGCTCTAATTACCCGATCTTTATTTTAACAGACTGATTTTTTGTATACCATGTTTTGTAGAAACTTTCGTATGAAAAACCTTGTCGGTCTGGTGGCAGTTGTATCGTCGCCGATGGAGATCGAATGAACGCACCATTTGTGAATGCTGGACGTTATAAGATTGTTGGCGACCAGTCTTCAGGATCGACGTTAACCATTGACGGTAAAATGAATTATTATTTTCTTACAAAATAAATCAATAATGTCTGAGGAAATATGTCACCATTTTAGAATGCATATGCGTTGTTCAGTTATTAGTCTTACCTCAAGACTGTGGACCCCCCCCCTCTTATCTACTTCACCGCTGTAGTGGGGAAGGTCTCACAAGGGCTTCCCCACTATCAATAACTGACTATTGAATAGACTTTTATACGCCATGAAGTGCTAAATGATAGCGAGAAAATATCTCCTTAGCTTCATTATCATCATGAAATATGTGATGTTTTTGCAGGTTTGGTTGCCGAAGATACTGGAACTATAGGGTGTCGGATAGAATCTGCAGATGAAGAAAAAGTTCAAGCGTTTTTCGTATATAGTACGCATTTCTCTTTTTATGGGTCAATTTTAGAAACCAGTCAAATAATGATTCTATCATAATTATCAGCACATTTATTAGTGATGCATTTTGGTGTCTCGAAGTTAATCAGAAATTCAAATTTGGCTTTGATTTTCTTTTACTGTCGAAATATCAGTAAAATATACATTTTGACTTTGATCTTTTGGTAATTCCGTGTGTAAATAAACATTAGATTTAGAGATATCTTGAAAATGAAATGTCAAAATGGTCGAAATATTCTTTTTACTAAATCTTACTTCAATTCCTGGTTTGCAAAGTTATCTATTTTCAACGGATTTTTGTCTTCTGCATCATCAATGACCAGCTTTGGTTATCCAACTCGTATACCGGAAATGAATAATGTATCCAAGTCGTTGGAATTGTCCTGAAAAGGACCAGATCCTTGATGAGCAGCAGAGAACTTCTAGTCATTCTTGACATGAACTCCCCATTATGATATTAAATCGTTATGTTGTAGGAGACATCCAGGATATCAAGTTAGTCCAGAGGTTATCAAATGGCACTAATCTGAATCTGAAAAATGGCGACAAAATACAACCTGTCGCTGCTGGCGAGGATTTAGATATCTCTTGTATCACAAATGGCAGTAATTCAGACCCTGACTTTGAAGTTTACATCAGCGAGACAGACGAGCCTGTGAATCTTGTTACTTCGTCATTTGAACCTGGGGCTCAGAATATCATGGGAAAAAAGATGGACGGTGGTTTAAACATGGTTAATTACTACAGAAACTTTACGAGCCTTGGGTTGGAGAAGTTCAAAATGACATCAACATACCATAAGATGTATTTGTATTGCGCAGCAAAAATTGAAATATTAGATGCAAAAAAGATATGGGTATCTTTAGATGTACTTTGTGAGTGGATATTGATAGTTGTGTTGCGAAAAGCCTGTTGCTCATTTTAAAACTTCTCATATATAATAATAATTAAAATAAATATAGCAATGTTTTAAAATATTACTTCATAAATCTAGCTAGTGATCTTTAAAAAAGATCAGGATTTACTTCATATTGTTCAATCTTGATGTTTTGCTTTGAACATTTAGTTCCTCCTGAAAATCCACAGTGTGAAAATGGTACAGCCGCAAACTATGGAGAGTCTAACGTCGAGATTACTTGCTCTATACGAACCAACCCTAGTTCTAATGTAACCTGGGTCTTTCCCTGGGGCGAGTCGGCGTCAGGCAAAAGCTCTAACGACAACTACTCTATATCTGCAGAGGTAAACTATATCTTTTCGTGTTTTAGTCTCCATTCCCAGTTACACCGACGGGACAAAGTCTGAAGTGACCAATGAAGTCCCATTGAATTACTTGAAGTCCCATCGAGTTCGACGATACCTTGCCCATGTTCGAGGTCTCACAAAGCATTATGGGACAGAGTCCCAACGAGTCTCTTGGGGTCCCAGAGCGAAATGTTAAAGGCCCTTCTACTTGATTTAATTTTTTTTTTGTTCTTTATAGATATTTGAATTTTGGCCAATTTTGAAGAGTTTTATGAGATAATCAGATTACAAATATTCAAGTATACGATGTAAAATACAATGATTTCACGGAAAAGATTGAGTAGATCTAGACATTATTGAAATTATTTAATTTTCCTGTTTTGCCGACCTTGTAATATAATGTCATGAGGGTTGCATGAAAATTAGTTTCTATTATCGTGAAGTAGACAAATTAATATATTGTCTTTAATTTCAGTACACGGAAAGTACAAATACTCTCGTCACTAGTGCTATTATATTTAAAGCAGAGGAGGATGTGTTTGATAAACCTTTCAATCTTACCGCTTACAACATATACGGGGAGGTGTTCCAACAAGCGTACATCGTCTTAGGTATTGTATTTTGATTCAAGTAATCCTGTCTTACTCGAACGTAATGAGGAGTTCACATTTTGAAGTTTTTTTATTTGCGAGAGATTAACTCTCGGAAGCTTTGACGACCAAGTCAATCCTCGTGTTTAACATGGGAGTCAGTGGGAGGAAAAAAGGACTGAAAATGTGTTCAGATTGGGAGGTGCTCGAATTAGCCAGGCGTTCGGATATACAGTGTAACTGTAAATAGGTATTGAACAGAGGTGATGATTTTAAAAATGCATTTGATCACAGTTGGCACTTCTGTCTTAGTTATTGGTTATTATTGAGTAACGATCCTACTTATCTGTAGTATTTAACTATCATGCAATTAATTTGATTCACGCTGCTCGTTAACGAGTATTATAATTTTTATTTAATTTGCTAATGGCTTTAAACTTTTCTCGTCTGTTATGCATACTTTAAACTGAGGAACGAAAATATCAAGGAAACATACAAAGATCATCGTTATTCATTTGCTATATTTTTCGTTTCAGGTGGTGCATCCGGGGCGATCCAAATTTACTTCAGCGTTTGTCTGACACTATCATGTCTGATGATGACCATTGCTCAATTTATGTAGACCAGAGACTCGCATTTAGACAGTGATTCCATATCATAAATATCATGTATAACACCTGTATGGAGCTCCATTAACCACTCATAGATATAATATGTTGATCCTCCCACAATATGCACACATGTCGCCGCAATTATTGAATGATTTGTTAACGGTAGTATGGAAATTAGCTTCCATGTTATAAATATAATTTCCCATAAGGCCACATAAGCCGATGAACAAGAAATATTGTGATATGGCTTTGTGACTTATAAGTTAAAAACATTGGCTTGGAAGTCACATTCAAAACTGTGCATGAAAAGCCACTGTTTTTAATTTAAAGCTGATTCCCGAATGCACGGTATATCTCAATTAGTCTTTACGTTCAGAGTGAACCATTTCTATTAAAAAAACGACAATTGGTTGAACATGTTTTAACACGCTTTTCAAAGTACATATGTAAGGCATTTGCATGATGCTGAGAGGATGCACAAATTCTATGTAAAGTCTGATGGTAATTTGATAATTCACTTGTTCTGGCCATACATCTTTCATTCTTTAATGTTTAGAAATGAGCTTATATTGATTTGTTGGACATATTATTGAACTCGAAGATTTTACTTGTTTGTATAAAATTGATAATGAAAGTCTACATAGACTTGATCGTCAAAGAAACTTGGTATTTTGTGACTTTCTTTAGTTCTTTCGAAATATACTCCTAGAAAAGTTAAAGACCAGTCTTTTTCCTCATAGGTTTACATTTTAAACCCCATGTCTCTTTGAACTCTTATTTTCAAAGCCTGGAACGAATAAAAAAAATGATAATGTAAATGGATATGTACCTTGACTCTATTCTCTATATTACAGAAAATTTTCAATTCAATATCTCCGTTACAATATGTCAAAAATTGATGTCAAATTTGAGGAAAATTAAAAAAATGGCACAACCCATGTAATCCAATGGGAAATGGTTGGGTTGCCAAAAGTCATATGAGAAAATATCCATCAATCAATTGCTCTCAAAAATGGAATGTAAATAGACAATTGAATTTTCTAACTTGTCTATAACAAAAATTTATTTGTTTCTCCAGGTTTTACAAAGTTATGGGTCTCAAAAGTCAAAACATTTCTCATAAAACCTCTCATTGAAATAACACAGAGGGTAAAAATGAGTTGTCAAAAATACGTTGACGCTCTCTATCGGTAATTCTCACAAAGTAAGCTTACAAAAAGCATGCACAAAGTAAAACAATTCAATTGTCTACTCAGAAATTATTTTTGATAAATGTTTTACCGAATACATATCCAAAAATCTGATTTGCCCCTAACCCACCATTCCCCATTTGTTTAACATGGGATCTGCCATTTTTGTTAAATTTCATGAAATTCATAAATTTTGACATTAATTTTGACCTATTGTAATGGAGATATAACATTGAATTTTGCAGACTTAATAGAGAATAGAATCAAGATACAGATTTATTTACTTTATCGGGGTTTCTTTTGTTCCACGCTTAGAAAATATTCGTTCAAACAAATATGGGGGTTAACATGTAAACCCGAGGAAAACCACTGGTCCTTAACTTTTTTGAGGAGTATATACAGGGTGTCTCAAAAAATGTACCCAAAAGTATATCAAGAGCACAGGTAAACCAATCAATATTTTCAGACATTTTTTGCATGGTCATGTTGCCAAAACATGAAAGTTTTCTCCCCAATACACCATTTTCATTTCAGTCTTGTCTTTTTGATGCTTTAACCCTTTACCTTTTACACCACATAATCGATGTAACCTCATATTTCGATGACAGCCTGTATCCTTACTGCTACATTGTTCATCACATTTGATAATAATTCCAGTGGAATGTTTTGGATTTCTCTTTGGATGTTGCCCTTAAGTTGTTCTAGGTCTTTTTGCTTGGAATGAGCATTAAAACACACCTTGTTCAAATAGCCACAGAGAAAGATGTTTGAGGATGACGATGGCAGAACAAACACAGATAATCATGATCAGGTCAATTATCGGCAAATGATCCAGGAGTTACTTTCCAGAGTTAGGCAGGCTAGCCTGGAGACCAAATGATATCCAAATGAAAACACAGTGGTCTCAAATTGATACACACAACAAAAGCTACACTAGAAGCCCAACCAATGCAGTTTCTTGAACCTCTGACCTCTCTGTATAAGGGGGGTATACATTGTGAGGGCCTCCCTATTCACCATATTTGACGGCCCATACATTTTTCTCTGAGGCTATTTGAAGGACCATTTTTATGCTAAACCCAAGCTAAGAGACCTAGAACAACTTAAGACCAGCATCCAAACAGAAATCAAAACATTTCACCAAAAATATCAAATGTGATGAACAATGCAGTAGTAAGGATGCAGACTGTCATCGAAATATGAGGTTACATTGAATATGTGGTGTAAAAGGTAACGGGTTAAAGTATCAAAAAGGCAAAAATGAATTAAAAACTATGTATAGGGGAAAAAACTTTCATCTTTTATCTACAAGTCCATGCAAAGAATGTCTGAAAATATTGATTGATTTGTCTATGGTGTTGATATACTTTTGGGTACATTTTTTGAGACACCCTATATAAAGGTCTGTTACAGACCGGTAGAAAAAAGAAAATTTTGTCTGGAAGTATTGTTTGATCCCTAGCCACCTGGGCTCAACTGTATATGACTATTAAAAAGAATAGATCTATTCACAATATTTCACGATGACAACAATTTTCTTACCTCCCGTGTTGAAGAGCTCTCATTTCTGGTACAGAAAACTCTACATCCGGGTTCTTTCCCATTGGAATATACAGGCCCTGATTTTTGAACACAATATTTTAGCTCCATTTGACATTTTTCTTTACGTAAATTTGCACAATCGATAAGAATATATGTACTTATGACACCTTGCAAAGCTTTATCCTGAATATCTTTCGAGACGTACTATAATCATGAAATTAATAATCGTGACATCGCTGATTTCATTCCCGGGAGCTGAAACCCGGGTCCCGGGGAACTCGATATGAAACATGAAGCTAGTTTTCGCGTATTTTTATCACAAATGTGTGTCAGTGTAATAAGGAAATGTACAAAAAGTTTGTTGTTCGCAAACATGTGGCACAATTCTGTTGTTTTCTGTACTACTTGTTTGCAAAAATGTACATTTTCTTAAACATATGATACCAACACACCTTTGTGATTAAAATGTAGGAATCTGCCTGCAACCCTGAAATAAATTTATGATGATTTGGTCAAGCATATTGAGTGCCGCTGTGACTGCAATATGGAGGGAAATTTGGGAATTTTCATTTTTGATTTTTTGATGGTGTCATTTTGTTAAGAAATGATTTATCTTTAAAATCATATGTAATACATGGCATGGTTTAACATATATCATATGAATCATTCATCTTTAAAAAAACTAGATTCTACATCGTCCTGGAATTTTAAACGGATTGAGTACTCGAACTTTCGTTTGATACCCAAAATCACCTCAAACGGACCACATCGCAGCTTATAATTACAAATAAAAAAGATATTCCCTAATCCGTCAAATTTTATTGAAAAATTTCATCTTTCAAATTCCAGTTGGCAAAGATATACAGGTAGATTATTCTTCAGTGTCCAAAGTTAATCAATACGCCATCTATTTATTCAAAAGTAATTAAAAAACGAGCAGAGTCTAGTTATAAAGTACCAAAGGTACAAAATAGACTGTGTAAGTTATACAGTGCACGCGCGATGCACAAAAGGCCGTATATAATGAAACTGCCTGAAACACATGCTCAATAAGTCATTTGTTGTGACCTTGAAATTAATTCTTCAGGGTACTCAAATTTAACAATGTGATTTACTTTGTCTTTATCAAGAGGTTGAGGATATCATTCAAATGATCTCTGAGAGATTTTATTTGACACTTTAAGGTGTCCGACAAAGTATGTTTGTCCAAAAAATAAAATCACCCCGACTAGGGTCATATGGAAGCCAAGACGGTGGGGAAACAACGTCGTGTGTTGACATTTAATATATGAAACCACATAAGTTTAACCATTCAAATTGCAAATGAATTAGCAATTTGTACAAGTATATGCATGTATAAATAAAAAGGACCATTTCTAGCGTGTCAAATTGAAGAGTCTGTGGCCCTCAGTTACGCCGGAAAATTTATTTCCACAAACGCCTCGGTGATTAGGTCACATTTGTCGAATTTCTCCAATGTCTTGGATTCCCGCTTTTTTGAATTGCCCGCTTGACGATCACACAGGAATCAAGTTTCATTGTGATTGGATTCTTGGATTTGATCTTTTCTACTGTATGCAATAAATTAACGACACCCGATGGTCCAACTGATGTCAAGACTGATGTCGTGTCTGTTTAGCATTTATGGACAGTTTGGATGACATCGGCAAACACATTTTACTTATTTCCTCGACCCTTAAATTCTATCATGAATTTCAAAGCAAGACATTTATGTTAATTTACTCGAATGAGCTGTTTGCAGCTATGACAAATCTGCAGTTGTGTCACGACGACTGCAGCTGAATATTGCGTTAACTGCTACTGTACAGCCCTTGATAGAAATGTCTGGTCGAGATCATTTCTCATAATTTTACCCTCAAATCTGGATAAACTACCGTATTTTCAGCTATTCTGTATTGCCTTCATGTATTGTATTTACGTTTACGTTACGTTTAGTATATCGTTCGAGTGTTTCTACTAAATGTGCATTTTGAAACATGATAGTCACATACTATTCCTCGTTGATAGGCTTGCAATATCTGCCAGACGTGTATCCATGAATGTATACAGTATTACCTATATAGAATATCAAAAGTACTGTCTCGTTCGTTTTATTAGATTTTTAGATTTAGAACGCAGTTGTCATAAAACATTCCTTTGGATATAATCATCATAAGATCATCGAGGTAAACAATAGCATTCTGTAGCATAATGTGGTGGATGTAGCATATTGCAATCGTTGTAAGTTAAACGTTTAAGCTAATACACATGTAAAGATTATCTCATGGTCATCCGTTGGATCAATCAACCAATCGATATCGGTGATACATCATCAGTCATTTTGACCTAAATATACGTATAATTCACAACGATAAGGTCCAAATAAACAACATATATTATAACAACCTAAGACTCTTATTGACGAACTGTGTTATCTAGCAGATGTAAGTGTTATTATTTAAGTACTTGAAAGCATAGGATATACTATACAGGTTTTTATAGTAGCCTACATACAGTTGTCAAACAGATTGGCGATATATATTTGAGTTGAGGTCGTCAATATACTTCTCTCACGAGGTTTTCATTTATAACAGTGGATATTTACGAGCAGATTGATCAGCTGCAGAGTATATTAGTTGATTTTGACTTTGATTTTCAACACAATGTTCTTCCATGCAGCATCACTGTGTCGTGTTGTGTCGCGGATGACAATCAGAAATGTAGGAAGGGGTTTCAAAACCAGCCTAGGGATATACGGAAAAGCCAAACCCTCTCACAGTGCTGATTTCGTGGAAAGTTTTAAACCAACACTCGGATACGTAACGAGTATTGCTGTCACTGAACAAGGTCGAGTGGTTGCTGCAGAAAACAAGAAATTTCGTGACAGTATCGAAGTTAGGCACGAGATAAGCCGGGTGAACGTATATGATGCGGAAAATGGCGAGGTAGTTGGAGAATGTGAGAGTGTAGATACTTACATCGATGACCCTAGTTCTCCAAGGCTCGTATACCCCACTTCGTACCATGATGTTGCAGTTTTCGAGAATGGAAACATCGCAGTGAAATGTAAGCTTTACCCAGAGGAAAGGGATTGGGCGGGTTGCGTCGGTATTTTCAACCCGGAAGGTAAATTCATCAAATTTCTTGGCGAACGTTGGGTGCTTAATCATGGCCTGGCGGTTAATAGCAAAAGTCAGATTTTGCTAGGGGTATGGGACGAAGAGGAGACCCCCTACCGAGTATGTGTGTATTCAGAGAGCGGGAAACTCAAACGGGAAATTGCAGACGACAGATTTGGACCACAGATGTCGCTAGCTGTTAATGCCAATGATGACATCGTATTGGCCGATATGGATTCTGGACGACTTAACATATTCGACTCGGATGGTAAATATCTATTTGACGTTAAAATACGAAGCCATACAGGCGATAAAGAAAACCAGTCAGACAGTATGGATTCACTATCTGTTTGCTGTGACGCACAAGGAAACATCTTCTGTGCTGATGAACGCTCCGGAAAAGTGCATATGATATCAGTTGATGGTCGAAGCCATAATATCATTGTTTCAGAACGCAGTCACAAGAAGGACGCTCTTGTTGCACCAAAAGCAATCGCCGTTTATGATGGGGGCATACTAGTTGCAGAATCGGGTGTATCAAATTTGGTAAAAATGTTCAAGTACATGTAATCAGAAATGACATAGTTCGATACATATAGTCAGATGCATGACTTCACGATTTGTAAGCATACAGCATAAATGGTTTTGAGTTTTATAAGAATATACATATACGCACATACAGCATGCGTTTAATAACGTTATTGATTTCAATAACGAATCATTTACATCTTGCAGTATATGTATTGGAAATAATTTTAATGCCAGCTTGAATAAAATATTTAATCGATGCAGACAATCACAACATATATTAATTTGAACTAGATTGTATTATAAAGGGGGATTCCAATCAGAAGACAATGAATGATAATATCTTATATCAGAGCAATTGTCATACTTTTGTCACTTTATTAATATATGCACCCGAATAAATAAGTTAATATGGTACAATAATTAATTGAGGAGGAACTATTTTGTTGAACAAATATCATGACATTGCCGAATAAGTTACCACCATGTAACATTTGTTGTTGGTTATACTATATTTATGTTTGATAAATCTTCACTGATAATTAACTTTAAGCATTACCAGTAGTTATAGGCCATTTTATTAACGTGGTTAGGCGAATATACTCGTCATCAGACTTCAAATTAATAGTACAATAACGTCATTTCGAAGGGCAATATAGTGAAATATTGGACCGAGGGCCAGAGGCCCACTAATACCCCTTGAACATGCCCGGTAAGGTGATAATAATAACAATTTATACAGACATAATATTTGAACAATCTCGCTTCTATTCGATTATTTTGTACTTTGTTATAAACTACGTGTTAAAAGATGGCAGCATTATAGTCAAGTATATTTGTATATTGCCAGAAGTGTAACTAATTATGGACACGAAATATCATAGGCAGGAGAGACTATTATTCCAGATATTAACCATGTAAGCCAAGTAGTAGCACAGTGTAAAAATGAAGTTAAATAAATATGGAATAGATAAAGTAACATCTTAAATTAAGGTGAATCTGTAAATGCCCTAGTAACAAATGGGTCCGATGCTAAACCTATTCCTGGCACTGCTTTTGAACGAACAACAATCCATCTTTTGAATAATACTATACTTAACATACGAACGAATCAGCATTGTTTTATGAAAGATGGCAGGCAATAGCTTAATCTCAACTTTGAGAGCATAAATAGATGGCAGACTTTTGGCAAAAAGTAAATAAAAATGGTCCCCATATAATTAATCATCGTATATCTTCCATTAGCAACGAATCGAATATGACACAATACACACTTGTTCGTTATGTAATATACAGGTGATTTTATTTTGCATCACAAAATATCATCAATGATGAGTAGAAAAATCTATATATTCAATAATCGTCAGCGACAGCGATACTTGGGCGACTAGATAATCTCTCTCTCATGTAATGACTGTTATTCGGATTATGGGGGTTTTTACCGTCCTTTGATTTAATGCATAACATTGTTTTTAACTTTCTTCTAAAATTGATATTACATAGTGGGTACAGTATTGGATTCAATGTACTATTGAGGTATCCTATCCAAGTGACTGTTGTCATGAGATCATCGCTTATACAGTTGAAGCAGAACGCTACAACCAGAAAACAGATGAAGTAAGGAAGGAAACAGATGGTGAACGCCCCCATTATAACACCCAGTTGCCTCGCTGCCTTAATTTCACGTGTCAACGCAGAGCTTTGTTTCTTTTTCTTATTGCAATGTGTTCTAAGTCTCAACAATCTTGCTGCGTTCTGTTTCATACTTTTGGTTCGACTGATCTGTGGGGCGTGTTCAGATCGTCGGAAAAATTCTAAGAGAGATGCATCTGAATGTCGTTTTTGATTCAGTCTATCTGGACCGTTTCTTGACTGTGACCTGTGAGCATTTGGTCTTTGTAAGCTGGATTGCCTAGCCCTGAACGTTCTTTCCTTGAAGGAAGAGCTTCTGCTGCAACGCGATTCTGATCTTCTTGAGGCGCCATTAGGCCTATTGATACTGTGATAGTTCCCCCTAGATGGAAGCAGCTTCCTTGACGTGTCGTGTTCGATTTCAGACACGCTCCACGGCTTGTGTTTTGGCGTCATGTGATCCTCGTCAGTTTCAGATGAATACACATAACGTTCAAGTTTTTCTGTGGTTGAATCCATGACACACTCATCATAGACAAAATCAATTTGGATATGTATAGATGGTGTTGATTTATCAATTAATGTATATCCATTTTGAGATTTATTCCCTATTGACCGTAACTCCGTGTATTCGGCAACAACAGTTTTGCGAACTATTTCCTCGTCTGAGGTCACGTCAGTATAATCCCCGGGTACTCGGAGAAGATTATTAAACCTGGCACTGGCACTAGGGGGGTCTGAGGAGTCGTCCTCAAAAGTATCGGACACGTGAGAGTTTCTACGGGAATCTATTGAACATCCCTGAGATTTGGTATATTTGGCACTTGTGGAAGCTCCCCCAACGTTCCTCTGCCCTATTTCAAACTTCGCTCTTTTCTTGATTTCCCAGAATATTTTTCCATATAAGACAAACATTATACCTAGAGGTACATAGAAATTAAATATCCCCGTGACGATTTTTAATAGTTTATTCTGGGCGTACTCAGTGTCACAAACATTACTAGGTACAGTGCGTACGCCATTATTGTAAAAGTAGTGCCAACCTATGACTGGAATAAGCCACAGAGACGAGGCAAACCACACCAATGATATCATAATACATGCGCGTTTTTTCGTCCGTTGTCTCAGATATTTCAAAGGTGACGTCACGGACCAGTGTCTGTCGAGACTAAGGATGAATAAATTCAATATGGACGCCGTGCTTGCCGTATAGTCCACTCCAATCCAGAACTGACAAACGAAGACCCCGAACAACCAATCCTTTGTGAATATATAGATGGCGCTGATAGGCATCACACATAGCCCAACAATAAGGTCACTAACTGCTAGACTAACGATAAACATATTGCTCACCTGAAAGAACAAATAAAAAACGTTATTAAAAAGTATTCTACAAATACTATCATTTATTTATCAATATTAATATATACTATTTACACGAAAGGACACTAAAATAAAAACATTAATCAACTTTTTTCGCTTTTATGTTTTGAAGATGAACATCTCGTCTTGGGGATATCTTATTGATATTACTTTCCATTATAAAAGAATTACAGAAGAACTTTGAAAATTTTCATATTTGTGACGATGTAAACAAACATTTTTTACGATCAAAAAGATAGATGGTGTATCATATGAGTCAAATCTAGCGATACTCTTATGAGTTTTGCAACGTATATTTCAAGAGGTATCTAGCCAATTACCCTGAACTCTTGTAAATTATTGTCCCAGCACCATTCTATTTGTAATTGTATTCACATTGAATTTGTTCCAGCACCACGCTACGACTTGCCTTCCTTCCCATTTTTTAATATATAATATAGAACCCTTCAATTGCTCCAAGACATTAAAAAGGGTATCATACAATATGTTCCTTGGAACGTGGTTAGCGAGGTCGGAACTAATGTCCGCAGTTGGGGAAGGCTAGGTGGCCTGAGGTTGGGTGATTCAAACCTTACGTGGGGTGAACAAGAAGGGGAATACCCAAGAGTTAAAGGAAGACCATATTTTCAATGGAATTTTTACCACGTGTGTGACCACCAATGATGTTAAATGGGACGTTTAAACCTAGTATACCTTTAGGAATATGGAAATAAACAACGTGCTCCATTTGTAACTTCACTAATGCCTTGGTCACATTTGCTCCGAATTTCACTACGGCACCCGGCCGATTGAGTATTTTATTCAAAATTGAATACAATATTGAACAAAACACTCAATCGGCCGGGCACCGGGCGATGGTTTGGAGCAAATGTGACCCAGGCATTAGCTGTCGTCTATATCCCTTTAATAGATAACACAGGCTACAGTATAGGGGTAGGGTAGAGAGATACCAACCAGAAAGAGGTCGAATCATACAATAAAAAATGCTATAAGCCTTTGGACGATTCACACTGACTGGATAATGCCTGGGTCACAATCCGATCCATCGGCCGGCGCCCGGCCGATTGAGTGTTTTGTTCAACATAGTATTCCATTTTGAACAAAATACTCAATCGGCCGGGCGCCGTAGTGAAAATCGGAGCAAATGTGACCAAGGCATTACCATCTTGTGAAGCCGGTGAAATGAGTTTTATCAGGTTAGTTATTCTACACGGACGACATCGTATTTTTGCCTTTAGATGGGTTGAATCAGCAGGAACATATTGAAATCATTAGACAAGTGAGAGAAGGTTTAAGAAATGATACAATTTGATCCATACTTGTTATTGTAGGTAATAATTAGTATTGATGTTAATAATCCCCAATTTTCTTGGAAATCTGCTCTTAATTTACTTGGTACACACCGAGTGGGTAAGTGGCTTTGAACTGTCGTAATGCTCCTCATAATTAGCTTGGTGAATTAAGTTCAATTGGAACCATATATCTTGAATCTATTTTCATATTTAGCACCATCGGATCCTGCATTCCGTCTTCGACCCCTTTTGGATGTCGAATGATTTTACGGATACCATGATAAATAATTACTCATCCAGAATTTCATGAGTTATATAAATCCAATGGTATCATAAATGTATTTTAGTACCCACGTTTTTGATTTCTTACTGATAACTATTTTAATATCATACGAGAACCTCTTTAGTAAAACAATACTCCAGTCCCTAATGTTCAAGATATCACAGCCACTCATCAGATATGATGATACTTATAACTAGCAATAAGCTTCTCGAAAGACAATTGATAGAAAACAGTGAACTTTTGCGACGCTCTTCGGTGCAGTTGCGTACATGTACGTATAAAGTATATTCAAACTACTGATTACAGTAATCGCAATAAGAGGCCATTTTGAAGGAGAACAGTACAAAATAGAGTACGATTTTAGACTTCCAGCCGAAGGGCCAAATGTTTTCCAACCCTAACACTAACCCTAAACATATCCCGGCCTAAACCCTAACGCCTAATTATAGTTTAGCCCCTAACCATAACCCCCAACTTTAACCCTAAAAGAGAATTGGAATCTCACTCGGCCATCTCCTGTGGAATGGCATTGGTCCTCCTGTATATAATAAACACTCTTTGTTCCGGAGATCTGCATTTTTTTGTTCAACTCTGGAAAATGTCTTTGTTTTGCTTTCCCGAGTCCCCCATCCCTAACAACAAACAATTTGCACGTAAACCCCCGTCCCTCTCCCTTTAAGTTTGGCGGGCAACGTAGTGAAACCCTAATGAAGCCTTTTGGCCAAGATTTCACTATGCCCTTAAAACGAGATTGTTAATATTGTTGATCAACCGTGACGTTACAAAGTGTTTGAACTTCGGTTCAATGTGACCGGAATGAACTAAAATTCAATATTTTAATAATTCAATTAATACGTCTAGACATTGTTTCAGATCAGTACCAAATTAAATTCATACATAGCTGCTTTTTATGCAAGATATATGAGTTTTCACCAACCAGATAATCATTCTGAGTATCTTGGCCAACTATTTCAGCTTTGATGTAAATATTGCAGATAATCGAAAATTTGATGAAAGAAACTTGATCTTGATATCCTCATATCTTAGTAATTCTATACCCTGTATTAGCTATCTACAGTATAAGCAAGAGTATTTTTCCAGTGTAAATTGCATAAAGTAATAAATAATGTAATGTCAATCACTCTAAGGCATTATAGACATATTCACCTATAAAAAAAACTTGATTGAAAAATAAGTGACAAGTTGATAAACATGCTTGAGAAAAGGATGAAGTGATGATAATGGCTTGAAGGTGACGGTATTTACTTAGCGGGTTTACAAAAAACAAGTATTTCAACTTCCTTTCTTTAACACAAGGTAATTTCTTCCGAAATAACTGATACTAAGGTGCAATTCCATGAACCAAGACGTTATCCTTGCAAAATGAAACAGGAATGAGAACCCAAATGTGCTTCGCTCTCGAGAAAACAAAGCCCCGGACACCCCAGGAAACAACTCATATGTTTTGATCAGGGCGCGCAACTGACTGTCGACTACAACATTGGCCGGAAATCCATTCGCCTTGATATTCAAAACGAAAATACTGTGTATAAAAAAAGAAATCCGAACATGATATGAATAAAACATTGAATATCATTGCGTAGAGATTTTTCAATTACTCTATTTGAAGTCGATGAAAAGAAAGACTTCTCACACTTGAAGAAAGGAAAATAATTTGATTTGATTTGATTTTAGTAAGAATCACAGCTCAGTATATTGATCTATGGCGTTGAGAAATAGATGTTGACTTCCGATCGAAAAGGTCTACTTTCAATACTCTTCTATAGTTTACATTGATTGGGCCATGCCTGCAAGAATGCAAAAAGCAATGAGAGGCGAAATTGGAATATGTTAAATAGTGTGCATATCATAATTTTAGGGTAATAATCGAGGTTTATGGACCTCTCCAAACAAGTAGCATAACATAGTGTCCTGTCATTTTCGAAAAATCGAGATCTCATTAATGTTCTTGCATGAAAAATGAGTTCTGTGGGCGGAGATGACGATTTTCTGGGCTTACATAACTTCATTGTGATTTTATACGTATTTGCGACATATACATTTATGTTGTATGTACTCATACTCGTTTCCCAGTTTGATTTTCAATCATATGAACATATCATACCTTGGAAATCCAAGATGGTATGTATCGATATTCAGTAATTTACTTTCATAGGTCTTGGATTTTTTGTTACTAATACGAATGTGGAGAGAGGAATTGTGAATTGAGGAAGACAAATGAAAAGCACGATATGTGCTCCCCGTGTTTTATTTTTTCGTGTAGAAGAAGGATATGTTTATGAATCAACGTGGCAAATCACTGTCAAATAGTACTTATAATTAATACATGGTACTCTAAAAAGACCGGGACTGGACATGTTATGATTTGCTTAGTCAAAATATTGAACTTCCGAAGAGAGTAAAATGTTTGACTGGGACAAATCTTGATAGATTCCTGATTCAGGTGAAACGTTTTATACGTTGATTTAGTAGAGGAATGAGTTATGAGTACACACCATGTGATGTACACACCATGTGATGTATCCTTACGTATTGCCTGGGGGAATTGATCCGGTATCAGCCACATAAACAGCTATCAGGTGTGGATCTCAGAAGCAATAAAAAGACAAATATATACTTTATGTCAAATATGTATAAATTTAAGGCCAATTAACCTATTTCTTCGATGGATATACATGGAGGGGGGGCAGATTAGTTATAGAAGATGCTAAGTCCGCTCATGCCCATACCTTCCATATCAAAACCAAGAAGTGAAGTCAAACGAATGCAAAGGGTACACCTTATTAAACACCTTATATAAATAACAAAAATTGTTTCTTTGAAAATTACACAAAACGTAAAACTTGAATTCCACACATCTCCTTTTATAATTAATAGCTGAGAGAATCTTGTTAAAGAATTGCAAAATCTATTATCACCGGAATAACGTCGGTTAAACTATTGTCACTGGGATTGATCCCTGAGTGGCCTTGGTTCCTGCCCTGGTTACTGTTAGTTGAGCAGCATCTAATAAAGAATTTGAAATAGTCATTCATTTCTATACGAAAGGGGGATTACTCCGTAGATCTACGTCCCTGCAGAAGGAACCAATGTCTCTAGGTATAAGAATTTAACTTTTTTGACATGGGAATCCGTTAGTTTTGGTCCCCTGTTTCATTTTTCACCTTTACTTATTAATACCAGCCTAATTGTAACTAGCTCATTATTTTTATTATATTGTCTGGGTTCCTATTCAATTTTTCATGACCTAGGCTCATAGAAATATAAACCAAAATCTTCTTGGGACAGTCCTTATTATTGATATATGATAACTTTCATTAAGTTTAGTGTTTCTGGGGTGATGGTCATGCTTGAAATCATCAACATTGGAGGCA